ACAGAAGCCTGGATGTTCCAGAAATAGGATCTGAAGAGTAAGGACTGGGAAATAGAATGTTTCAGAATGGGGAAGGAAATGTATAAGCATTTTCCATTCTAAAACATTCAGGTTAAGTATGTTGCCCTGACCCAGAACAGCTGGCTGACACTTCTGCTGTATGTGCCAGGGACCTCTCGTGGCTTCTCCTGAGGACATATGATCACTCCCAAGTGCACAGCACCATGTATGGAACTGGTCATTTATATATGCTGCTTACCAGAAACAAGCCCTATTCTTTCCTCCAGCAGTACTAGATAGGAACATAAAGTCTGAATCTTTATGTGGCATAATTTTAGTTATCCCCAAACCTTCTTTTATATCCTTGCTAGTCAAGCTGTATATGATACATGACAGTGTGTATGTTTAAACATTGTGTACAACTCTTCAACTACGATGGGGTGCGGGAGATGTGTTATTCACATGCTTCCCTGTAAAATCATTTAGATTTTTGTTCTTTTGATTTGTTCCTCAAATACTCATTAATTCACCTTCTGGCCAGGCTCTCTGGCAGGCACTGGTATACAGTGGTATGCAGACGGTCGGCCTTGCAGAGCTTTCAATCCAGCCTGAACGACAGACATCCAGACAGAGAGAAGGAGGCAGGAGAAGGGCCTGCTCAGAGCCACTGAGGGCAGCAGAGGCACCAGTCTGAGAGGAAGGAGGAGAGGGGTGGAGAATGGCTTTTTAATTCATCTGGGGCCTCAAGAATAATTAGGAGTTACTCCAGCCAAACAGGGGAAATAAGAATTCCAGGCAGAGTGAATCACGTGAGTAAAATCCCAGATGCGAGAAACCGTAGCAGAACAAGAAAATGTTTGAAGAATTCAGCATTGTTGATGTGTGACTTACGGTGGGGACTAGGGGGAGGGTAGGTGAGGGGGTGAGTGTAGGAAGAGGGCAGGAGTCAGGTCACAAGAGGTAAGATAAGCTTCTGACTTGAGAAGGGCAAGTGACTGAAGGGTTTTGAGAGGAGAAGGGGCACCATTGTGACCACAGAGAGAGGACAGGGAAGGCAAGACTGACGGTGGGTAGGCCTGTGAGAAGAGAAACCTGTTGGAATAACCTACGTGCCAGATGCCTGGGGCAGTGCTATCCATTTTGTGTCCCCCAGAGAGAGGCTTCCCTGACCAGCCTAAATTAGGGCCCTGTGACCATGTCTCACAGAGCCCTCTATTTTCCCTTACGTGGTCTGTATTGAAATTTATAACTGTGCATTTCTGATGTAACTATTTGTTTTACTGAATGCCTCCTTTACCAGACCGTGAATTATTCCATGGTGCAATCCTGTCACACTCAGTAGCTGCACCCCCACCTTCTAAACAGTGCCTTGCAAATAGGAAGGACTTTGTCAATATCTGTGAATGGGCAGATGAGTAGAAACGGAGGGGAGTGGACAGATGTGCGGGATACTCGGGTGGTGGAATCAACAAGTATGGGTGCTCGTAGGGGACAAACATAGCAGAAGGCGACTCCCAGATTTGTGGCTTAGGTAGCCATGTGGATAACGGTGTCATTTATGAAGGAGACACTTGGGTCCAGAGGGAGTGGTCGGAGAAGCAGGTTTTTGGCAGGGAGAGGATTATAAGAAGTTCAGCCTTGGGGAGACTGAGCAAGCTGGGCATCAGATTTAGCTTTAATACTGACACTCCATTTGAAGTACTCCTCACCAAAAACATAACAAATAAAAAACAGCAAACCAACGATAAAAAAACAAGTGTAGTAGAAATATGGACGAGCAAATCTTTTCTACTTTTACTGTTCAGTTTTCCACAGCTTTCCCTTTATGATTCTTTTATCAGAAAAAACATCAATTCCTGAAACTGTCAAGTAGGGAACGTCTCTGTGTTAACATAGTGACTTCATTCCACAGAAGAGGTAACATCCTTTAACACCTTTGAATATGAATTACTTCGTCTTTGTATTCATAAAAGTATAAAGAATCAAGATAAAGTACTAAGCCGTGGGAGGGTGGTGGAAATCATTTTGCTTTAATAATTTTATCTTATTAGCATTTTCATGATCAAAATGAAAAACTGAAGAAAATGTGGGAAATCTTTCCTGCTTTCTTATTTTTATTATTAAACGTTTCTAAACAATATTTCTTCAACCTGAAAGCTTTGAGTATTATCAGCAAGGACCCCTTAAAAACTTAGAGCGCCCTTTCATTGCAGCTTCCATGGTGGCTGGAGGAAATGTAGCAATCTCGATAAGGACACACACATCAAAACATCATTTATGAATAGTAGCATTAAAGCATTTTGGCTCAGCGCCTGTGGCTCAAGTGGCTAAGGCACCAGCCACGTACACCTGAGGTGATGGGTTCAAATCCAGCCCGGGCCCGCCAAACAACAATGATGGCTGCAACCAAAAAATAGCCGGGCA